AATGATGATTTTATGGTAAAGCTTATGCATCTACATTATCCAAGTCAGTTATACTACTGGCCAAAGCGAGATGATAATTGTTGCGTGCCAAAAATGAATTTAATTTCTCTTGTTAAAACGCCTTAATCTTCTGGGCATCAGTACCACATCTCAAAAGAAGATGAAACTCTATTTGAACAGCTTTTACTCTGTCAGTGAAAGTTGATGAATATTTTACTTTCTTTATTTAAATGATATAAACTTCAATTTTAGTAATATTTGGTTATTCCTTTTTTTTTTTGAGCTTTTTTCAATAAAGCAGATTTTTTACTATTTTTCAAAAAAGTTTGCATTTTACTTTCTTATTCTTTAACACAACATTTGAGCATGCAATCTAATATTTAAGCATGCAACCAATATTTTGAAACAATACCTAATTACTAGACATTAAGTAATGATGTTAAGTTAAATTATAATTAGTGTTATAATTAATAAAGAAATTATATTTTCAATGTGTTGCATAGTAAATTATATTTCCATGAATACTTGTGAAAATATTGATTATAAATATGCAAGTTATGCAAAGCAATATAGTTTTTTTATTTTCTTTCAGAGACCTAAACTTTTCTAAGACCTTTTATTTTACAATGAGAGTAAGTCAACTCCAGAAATAAGTGATATGTAAACCATGGTTATAAAACAAAAAATTTGACTGCTGATATTTTAAAATTAAAAAATTGTTCTCAAATATTAAGAATTAGGTTAATTTCTTTTCATCTTTGTATCTTTAAAATTGGCCAGGTATTAATTTTCAATCATATCTTCCCCTAGAACTGAAATTATTCACACAAAAAGTACCGCTATAAATTCTATAATGGAGAATAGAGGCTTCAAAAAGATTTTTTCTGTCTAAATTTCAAAATGACATATCTTTTTAATGCTCTAAGAAACCAAAACCATCTTTTTTATAAAGATAGCCTAGGATCACCTACTTCATTTGAAAAAAAAATCCATGAAACTTAGGCAACTCTGAGAGTTAATGAAAGCGCAACCTTAGTAAAAGAACAAAAAAATTGACTGACCATTTTAAAATCAAAAAATAACCATAAACAAATTTAAAACTTACTATTTTCTATACATTTTTGAATTCAGCACCCTCAAAATTGGTCAGGTACCCATTTTTAGCCACATTGTTCCACTAAATTTTATATTGTTTATTAAATAGTACAACTACGAAACCCATAATAGCGGACTTGACAAAAAATGGAATGTTTTAGGCTGAATTTCAAAATGTCATAACTTTTGAACCGTTTGGATTTGGGAGCTCAAATTTTACATTTTTTCATGCTTCATTGTTATGTACCACTGGGTAAAATTTAAAGAAAATCCAAGAGGTGACTGAAATGACTGCCCCAGTTTTAAATGGCATTACCCAGCTGTGGTTTGAGATCTCGAGCTTTTGTCACATTGTCAACTTTAAACTCGGATGTTTACATCAAAGAATACTTGCAATCTAGACTTTTGTAATTTTATCGAAATTACCATGTCTCTTGTTAGTTCTAGCCTAATCTTGCTTCTTGTCATTATTTTAAGAAAATTGGTACAATTTGAGAGACAGCAAATTCATACCAAAAAGCTTGAATCCATTAATCTGCACACAGTTCTGTCTCATTGAAAAATTTTGGGGAATCAGCAAAGGATATTTGCATAAGAGTGGCAATAAGTACAACTAAAGAATTGACTAGAGAGTGAACATTAGTAGAGAAAAAAAGTGTAAAAGACACTGGGCAGAGGTTGATGTTGTCAATTAGCGTAAATGTTCGTTATTTGAAATACTGAAAAATATTAAAATAAAAAGCACTTTTATAATCTTTAAGTTCCTTAGATTAAAATAAATATTGAAGTTTTTGTATTAGTTGAACTATTTTTTTTTTTATAATTTTTTATTGTTTTGAATTTAACGATTGCATGTTTTACCCTGTGGGCATGAGACATACAAAAGAGGTCTTTTAAACATCTTTTGAACGTTTTGGACGTCTTTTTTAGTTACATGCTCCCTGGGTAGAACTAGAATTAAAAGTCAGACTAAAAACTCTAGTCTTGGGTAAATAATATATAGAAAAAAGTGTTTGTTTACCCAAAACAAACTTTCTAATTGTAAAATCCGGTTGTAGAGTAGAGTAGTAATAGTAATACAATAACCATAAGAGTTAGCTATACAAAAATCATAAGAGTTAGTTAAAAATTAATTACTGTAGTTGGTATAGTTATGGCTTAACTATAGTTGATCGTAACACAAATTTATTAAACTGTTTTAATGTATACTGCAGTATTAGTGTCTTCTGGTCCTTCTGTTATTTTAAATAAATAAATTGGAAAAAATTTAAAAAAAATTTCTCAGCATTAACTCGGATTTAATAGCTGTTATTATATGACAACTGAACCCAAATAATAGTTTTTGGTAATAATAATGCATTGTTCAACTCATACATTTAAAACAACGTTTCTACTATGTCTTGCTTACAAGTTGTCTAATTTTATAAATACAAAGTATTTATAAAATTAGACATAGATCTTGTGACAGTAACAGTATCAGATATTCTTAGAAGAAAGTAAAAGCAAGTAAAAAAATTAAAAAACTTTTAATTTTACTTAAACATTTTTCAACAGGTATATATTATTTAAACTTTGTGAAGACCTATCTTTCTTAATATGTATATTAAGAAAGTATACTTTTAAAAAGTTAAAACATAGAAATCTTCTATTGATAGGGTAGATTAGGGTAATATGAGCACCTTGGTAATATGACCATACTAAAAGATTTCTAAGACGTAAGCAGTGAAGTTAAAGTTGCTTTGTATTTTTTGAATCAACTTTAGGTAGTGATAAAATTTAAGTTAATAAAATAGAAAAAATAATAAACAAATTTTTTTTTTAAAAAAAAGGTAAAAATAGTAGTCTTGTTTCAATAAAAAGTTGTTTAAAATTTGATCTTTTAATGATAAGTTTTATTAGAAACGAATCATTATATTCCACAAATAAGTTCTAATTGTCAGGTTGGTACTTTTTTTACTTAATCTTATTTTTTTGAACTAATTTAAAGTGTTTATATTACCAAGTGGTCTGGGTAATATAAGCACTTTTGCAACTTTTTAAAAACCTCTGTGTTTTTAAAGAAGAAATTTTGGGTGTCAAAATATCTTATCGGATCATGAGTTATGATTACTAAAAATGGTTTACTTTCAAAAATTTTGGATCCAGCATTATTATTTTTGAAAATATTTTAATGTTCGTTTAAGGTGCTCATAATACTCTAATCTACTCTATATGTTAAACAAGTGAGATAAAAGTAAAACAAATTATTTGGATTCTGTTCTAAATATTTTTTATTCAAAAATAATCTGAAGAAAATACTTTTTATATAAAATTTTTAGTTTAAATTAAAAAATTTAGTATAAAAACTTTTTAACTTATAGAACCAAATTTTTTCTTCTTATTTAGTCTAACTTTATTAAAAATTATTGAATAAAAACCTTTATTTCAAAATGCATTAAATTAAACTTTTTAGGATAATTAAGTTTTTTATAGTGTCCTAGATTGTTAAACAAAAAATAGCTGAAAAATATAAAATAATAAAATTAAGTGTTAATAATAATAAGGTGCATTGATAAATTCTAAAAATTTTGGACATGTAAATTTATTAAGAAGAAAAATGAAAAAAATAAACACATTAATTTTATTTGGTACAAGATTAGTCACTTAAGCTAAAATAATAAAATGAAACAATAAGATGAAACCCAAATTAATAAAAGTGGCACTTTTTAAAATTTAAAACAACAAATATATATTTTTTATCAGTCATTAGTTTAACAACATACAGGTTTTAAATTTAGAATTAATTTTTCCAAAATTTAACATTTTTAAAGAAGATAAGCATCTTTGTCTTTGTTTGAGACCTCATAAACCACTTTAATTAGGTCTCTAAACAACATCAGATTATTTTTTTAAAACTAAATTTTGCAATAAATATAAAATATAATCTATTCCACTAAATCAAATCTTTTATTCTTGTTTTTAGTAACACACTGTTTGTTCTTCTTTTGGTACATTATTTTCTCTTAGACAAAAAGTTAATTTGTTTACATATAAACTAATAAATATAAAAAAAATTCTATACTGTATAGTATTACTTTTTAATCAAACAATAATCTATATAATTTTTTAATAATATTAATTCATTTAACTTTTTAATAATATTATTCTACTTGATTATGTTTACACTTTAAATGTTAAGCTGAATGTTTCTTAAGTAATGAATTTTCTTTAATTTTTGAAATTTCAACTTATACTCAGCAATATCTAAAATATTACTAAATAATATTCTATAATATTTATGATAAGATCTCATGACATCTTTCAAAGTTAATATCAAGAACAGAAATAACATAATAATGGAAAATATCAAGAACAGAAATAACATTTCTGTTCTTGATATTTTCCATTATTATGACCAAAAACTTTGTCTTTTAGCTTGCATAACCTGCTAACAGGTTATTAAAGAAATAAATTTGTAATAAATATATGTAAATTATGTACCTGAGCCTAAATAAAAAGAAAAACAAATTATGGAAAAATAAACAAAAAAATGCACTATAAAAAATGTATTTGCTTAGATGTGCAAGTCAAAAGACCAAAATACTCTATCAAAGTTTTTTGATCTACCTAACTAAATACAATAATAACTAATGTTAAATACCTAATATTTAATAAACATTTACAACAAAAACAATCTTTAAACAAGAAATTGTTTTGAAATGGATAACTTCATATATGTCAAATACTTAACATGTAAAAACATATACTAAGTAACATGACAATTTATTAATCAAATTTTTTATTAGTTTATATAAAAAATAACTTAATTGAACATAACTTAGCTTTTCAGCAGTATTAAAAAAAGATTAAAATACGATATTATTTAAATTATTTTTTGATACTATGATAACCTTGATTTTACTTACTTCTTCTGTGTTCTGAAGATCATCCATTTTTTTTATATATAAGTCTTACCGGACTTATAAACATATACCGCGGATTCAATAATATGTTAATTTTGAGGGGGTTAAGTTCCAACGCACCCATAAAAAATAAGGAAATTACGCTCCCATTTTAATCTTCCAATTAAGTGAAGTAAAATCATTATTAAGTAAAATTCTTAGCTTAAATAATCTCAACGGTGGTGAAATAAAGTTTAAAACAATTTAATTACAAGTAATTAACTAGTAAACATTATTTCTAAAGCCAAGCTAAACTAAATTGTATGAATCAAATCAAATGTATTCTGAAATAGATTTTTCATTTCACGGATTATTTACATATAGTGCAAATACTAAATTTCAAGATAACACCTTAATCCACGTAAAAAAAAAAAAAAAAAAAAAGACAGAGTAAAAACTTATATTTAATAATGATAAAACAAGAAATTATCAAAAACAGAAAGCATTATATGATTGATATATAAAAATCTAAAAAAAGAAACTCCAGAGTAGCAGTGTTAGTTGGTCAACCACCACAATACTGAGTAAAATGAGTAGAAACGCCGGAAAGGGTTAGCATATGGTAGCAACTGCTCTTCCTGCTCTTTTTGGCTGATCTACCGTGGCATATGTACCGTAATTCGCTCTTTCTACGAAATAGGTATGATAAATTGTATGCTATTAAAGCATGTTATTACCCAACATTCATTATCAGAATTTTATTATTAATACCTACCCAATGGAACCCAGGGCCGTCCCGAAGGAAGGGGTGTCGGGAGTGCTGTCATTTAAGCATTTGAGGTGGCACATTGAGCAAGTTTTGAACTATAGTTGGCAAATTGCAAATATTGAGGACTTTTTTTTTTTTTTTTTTTTATTCTGCTGTTTCTAGTTGGCAAAAAAATACATACCCCCCCCCCCCCATAGAAGACCTCTTTGGGACGGCCATGATGGAACCTGCTTTAATATATTCAAATGTATATTCAATCTTTTCAAATATATATTCAATTATTTCAAATATATTTAGTCTTTTTCAAATATATTCAATCTTTTTCAAATACATTCAAAATTCCTGGGAAAAAGCTATTTACGCGCGTAAATAAAAGGAGAATATCTAAAACTAAAACACAAACATAAACAATGGCAAACGAATTCGGTGAAAAAGATATGGGTGCAGATATATATGAAAAACTTTATATTTTTTCTCGATGAAGTTGAAGCTTTTATTTGGAAAACCTCCGAAGATTATTTGCTATTATTAATACAAAATATTGATTTGATCAATCAACTTATTCCATTAATGAACCGTTTTATAGAAGAGTTTAATGATGATTTAAACGACAAAAAAGAGTAAAAAGTATATTAGATATATTTTTGGAGCTTCAACAAAAGCTTTTTTTTATTATCATGAAAAATCTTCAAAATTCAGCTGTATCGATATTAATGTGTTACATAGTACAACCCCTAAAAGACCAAAGTACGAAATTTCAAAAAATGTTCTAAAAGAGTTTAGATGTTTGAAAATGAAATGTTGCATCAAAAATTTTAGGTGTTTTACATTAGACACTTGGTTTAAACAAAAAAGGTCGTTTTAGCATTATCAATGACCAGAAAATAGATATAATTATACGTGAATACATTTTTTGCCGCTGTGCAACAACTGGGGAACAATTATTATCTGGTTATTTGAGACCGAAAGGGTACAAGAAAGTATTCCTATGATTTACTCTGTTAAACAGAGTAAATCATAGGAATACAGCATTGCGAAGTCTTGGTTTCAAGGCAACTATATTACGTACCATGGCCAAATTTTTTATGGCATATAGATAAACACCACCCTCTAGTTTATTGGAAGTTTGTAATACATGGATTCATTGATGGTAAATCAAGGAAAGTAATGTTTTTGGAAGCCAATACAGACCACCGTTTATCTGCAGAAGATAATTGAACCCCTTATCAAAGTCAGTAAAATTTTTGTAAAATAAAACAACAACAAAAAAAACTAACTTTTAATAATTTATTTTGTTCCAAAACAACACAAATAAAACAGACATGTTATACCAAAATGCTATTAATAATAGTAAACAAAGATGCTAAGTTACAAAAAAGACTTAAAAAATATAAGAAACATAGTTGAGGATTACATGAGCTACTTTAGAAATAAAATTAAGGCTATTTTACCAATCAATTTTGTACCCAAAGTTCCACTATATTATTAGAACCAGGGACAGTCTTTTTCAGTACCTTGAATTCCTGAAAGTATAACTAGGTTATTTAATATTTGGTAAACGCTACATATTTTTACATTTAATAACATTAAACTTATTTCAAAATCTTATTGTCCCAAAAATATTAGTAAATGCCATGTCATAAACGTCAAAAAAGTTGGATAATGCCGGAGGTTTAGATAACGGCGAGCAACATGGCAAAACTAAACTATTAAAGCAAGTATGTGCACTTGGTATATACTAAGCTATTGCGATATTCATAAAAGTCGATATTGTCGATACTACGATATTACATAAACACAGTATCGAACTTCGATATTGAAACTGGATATATTTTTACTGAATTTCGAACTTATCGATATTCAGTTCGATATTTTACGATATTATACGATATTAAACGAGATTCTAGAATTTTAGAATGCTATTTTTGTGTTCAAGACCCATTTTTTCTAATTAGAGGAATTTGAAGGGTCTAATACCGTAAGTTATCTTCAATATTTGAAATATGTTTTAGCAATTCGGAAAAAAAATTATAGCTCAATTAATTGTATATTTTTTCATAAACAGTTTTACAAAACAAAAATTAGTCTATCGCGTCAGCTGATGAAACATTTTCTTCCTCGATTAGCCATTTTTTAATAGTAACTTTACTAATGTTGATTTTAACGTACACAAGTTTTTCTATTGTCTCGGCTTTTAGTAAAGTTCTTTTACATGACACAATATTTCCGGCTTGTGAAAACACACGCTCTGAAGAAGTTGATGACGCTGGGACACACAAGACTTTCTTAGCAGCTCTAGACAAAATTGGAAGTTGAGGTGAATGAATTTTCCACCATTCCAAAATATTGTAATTTTTATCTGGAAATCCAAGCCTCTTGTAAGCTTCTAGTTCTATATCAAATGGAGAATCTTTTGATGATCTGTAAAGCTCAGAGGCATTAGAATCCTGACCCATCATTTCAAAAAGAAGTTGTTCGGCAGGAGACAAATCTTGTTTGGGTGACACTGTTTGTGTTGTATTTTCAATCAAATTTGATGGTTGCTTTCCTATTGAAATTTCTTTTAAATCTCTGAGTGCGACATCGTCTTGGCCAAACCTTGTCAAAAGGAGACCCTTAAATTTGGGATTAAGTAAGTGAGCTAAAGCATTGTTTTTTTGTCTTGAACCACAGTCTGGAAATCGTTTGTTAAGATTTGAAAGGAGTTTAGAAACAAAGTCTCCTGTAATTTTGTCATTTGGTAGTATAAGCTTTTTAATATTCTTTTGAATATCAAACAGTCCTGGAACAACTCTCTGAGAAGTTGGGATTTTTTCAGATGAAACAACCTCTGTAAAATCATTAAACAGTTTCATGATCGGCACTACTTTTTCAATAACATCAAACTCATCAGAAGATGGAATTAAAGCCCTTAAAATGTCGTCCGTTTTAAGGTTGCTGCTTGCAATTATTTCAAGAGCTAATCGTAAATGTAATATTGAATCCATGCACATAAAACCACTATTCCAACGTGTAGGACAAGGAGAAATAATTTTATTAAATTTAATTTTCTCAGGTATGACATCATTACATGCTTCCATAATTCTCTGTTGACTGTTGATTGATTTGTGAGTTCGTGCTGAGAGTGTTTTGCACACCTTGAAATAAAAAATTATTTTGGTTAAAAAAAATATGTAAACAAAAAAAAACATAGGATTTGAAAGTTATTCATTTGTTGGTTGCACCTTTATGCAGGTATATGGTATTGATGCATTCTTTAAAATTTTTTACTATTGAGAAAATAGACTATCGCATTTTTCATAGTTTCGTAAACAAGAGGAGAAAATGACTAAACATTTTTTTTACCTGAAAAACTTTTTCAATCTCATCGACTTCTTTGACAGATTTGATAATAACAAGGTGAAGTAAATGTGCAATGCAGGAAATACTTTCATCAATTTTGGCCGATTTTTTCATCCCAGATATCATGTTTGCTGCACTATCTGTGACAGAAGTCATTTTACAACCATTATTGAAAGGTAGAACAGAAATTAATGTGTCTGTTTTAATTGAAATATTGTCACCTGTGTGGCTGTCTGGAAAAGCATTACAGCCCAGCAAAAATGTCTTTAGTTCAAAGCCAGTTGTAATATAATGAAGCGTCAAGGCTGCAAATGACTCATTGCTTTTGCTGGACCAAAGATCTGAAGTAAATCCAACTGCATCTACATCTTTTAAGTCATGTGTTAAAACATTAAGAACTGCCTCAAAAACATTAGAATAAAGGATTGTAAGTTTGTTTCTTGAATATGTTGATGGTGCTCTAATAATAATTTCTGGACGAAGGCTTAATAAAAAGTCTTTAAAAGCAGGTGATGAAAAATGTTGAAAAGCTAAATTTCCCATGCACAAATATTTCACAATATCCAAGTCAGCTATTAACTGTCGCTTGTCGTTTGTTCCATATTTTGTCACAACCTTGCAATACGATGAAATGTCCATCTTTACTCTTTTTGCACTTAGAGCTATTGGCCCATGAGTGTCCAAAATTGATTCTTGTGCAAGCTGCTCAGCTATTGTTTCTGGTGCTCGTTTTAAATTTTCTTTCCCAATGTTGAGAAAAATTTCATTATGACAACCTCTGATGTGAACCTTCAAACCAGTCGTAGTGCTCTGTTTGGCGCCTATTTGTGTTGGGCATAGCTTACACTGAGCAATATCTTTTTTTGGTGTGTCTCTTAAAAAATATGCCTAAAAGGGACTTACTCTTGGCATTTTCAACAAAAAATATCACAACTTTTCTCACTTATAACTTCTATTAGTAACTAATTTTGAAAAAAATATTTATAAGGTTATATCAAAAGTATTTGAGTATTGAACAAAAATTAAGACATCAATTTTTGGTAAAGCTACAGTTAAGCGGCCTAAAATAAATTTACTGTTTCGCTTTTTGCGCTCTCGTTCGTAGAGACTTTAAAATATTAACAAAATATAAAAGCAAAGATTTATTTTATTCTAATAAGAGCAAAATAAATTTATTGTTTAGAAATAAGTTGTTTGCGGAATTTAATGTTTTATGCTTTATTTTATATATTGTTTTCTTATTATTTTTTATATATTATTTGCTATTATTATTTTTTTATTTTATTACTATTATATTTTATTTATAAAAATATATTTATTATTATTAAAACTTTGATTATAATTTACCTTGATTATAATTTAATTTGATTATAATTTGATTATAATTATTATATTTAATAATTAAACTTTGATTATAATTTACTTATAATTTACTTTGATTATAATTTATATTTACTTTGATTATAATTATTATTTATTTACCTTCAACTTTAATATAAAACTTCAACTTTTAATTAAATCTTTTAATTTCAAATTCACAACCCGTAACATTTATTATTACATGACATAATTAAGTTTCGCTTTAAAAATACGCTCCATCGTGTTTTTAAAAAGCGAAAAAATATAATTATTTTAGGCCGCTTAACTGTAGCTTTACCCAATTTTTAATTTACACTTAATTTTTAGCATTTTTAATTACTTTTCAGTTTGGCGGGAAAGTTTAGCTGGGAAATTTAAGGAGGGACAGTTTAGAGTATAACAGTTGACTTTTATTAAAGTTTGAATATTAGTATCGATATTTTAGTTTGAATATCGAGAATCTTTCGATATTGCTGTGAAAGGATATCGAATAATATCGAAACTTCGATATTATTAAAAAAATTACAATATCTACAATTCAATATCGAACCTGGTCAAAATATCGATATTTTAGCATGCTTCGATACTACGATACTGATATCGCAATACTTTAGTATATACATACATGCTTCCTTTGTCTTCTGATTCTATATATATATATATATATATACATATATATATATATATATATATATATATATATATATATATATATATATATATATATATATATATATATATATATATATATATATATATATATATAAATTAGTAGAAAATCACTTAACAATTTTTTTTTTCATTTTACACTGTGTTTCATCAACAAAGACTCATCAGAAATCTCTGATGACTAACAAAGACTCATCAGAAATCTAACTGCTCTGTTCTTTTAAGAACATTGAGCACTCTATTTTGTAGAATACATTTTTAAAATTGTTTTTATATATATATATATATATATATATATATATATATATATATATATATATATATATATTATTACAACCTACAACATTGTCAAGTTAAATTATTTTTTTGTTAACATAAAAATTTTTGATCAACATTGCATGAGAAAAATTAAATCATTGCCTGTGAGATGTAATTTTCCTAATACAGGTGTTTACATATTTTTTTATTTATTTATAAAATAACTCTAAAAAACTTTGCAAAATTGCACTTTTTATATTTTCAGCTTCAGTTTTAACCTTAACAATATTATTTTTACCCATTAAACTTGGGTAAACCTAATTAAAGTAAACTTAAAATTTATAAATTAAATACTACAAATTTAAGTTATATTAAAATTCAGTCATAAGACATTTTTTAATAGTGTTTGGGGTAGCAATGATCTGGGTCGATGTTGTTGCATGTAGTGGACGAAAGTCACCTTTTATTTAACCCAAGTTACAAAAGAGTTATTGATCAATGTTATATATTTATTGAACTTAGTTACAAATATAGTTATTGATCTTAATGAATTATTATAGGTTCAAAAAAAATGTATTGTTTATTTTGCTTAACTAGAAAGTGCTGCAGATGTAAAAGTTTGCACTTCAGACACCTAAAAAAAGACTAATTTAGATGCTCCTATAAAAGTGCTGTTTATAAGAAGACCATAGAGGATCATAAATCATAAATAAATTACAATAAACCATAAAATTATTCCACAAATTTTCATAAAAGATAAACCTGCATACCTTACGGTATGAATGATGATATACCTATTACTCAAAATCAAGTTGGGATTCCTCCCTCCCGACCGCGTCATGTACCGCGTCATAATCATTTTTAATCTTTTTTTAAAACAAGATTAATTTTTTCTTTGTTTAAAGGTAATCCAGCGTTACAAAAAAATAATATATAAAAAGCAATTTTTGATGTTATTCAAATCAGATGGAATCAGAACAAACCATTACAACAGTTCGATAAACCAATACCTGTTGCAGTTGTAAAACCGTACAACCCAGAAAAATCAAAACCAAATATATATATATGTGCGATAGAAGTGGTATTCAAGTACATAGTTGGGAAGTTCGTTAAAACCTATTATATTTGTTTTATCAATTATAGAAGTTCTTTTTTGCATTTTAAATGGAAGTTTTAAATTTTATTAAAAAAAGTGCTACACGAATATGCAATTTTTTTCAACCTGTTGGAAATTTTGTTTTATCAAGTTTATTAAAAACATATAACTATATAAAATCTGGAAAGTTTGCAAAATTGTTGCTAAATATTTTCTTGTTTCCGTTGAAGCTATTATTTTTGGTATTATTTCTTATTTTTGTGTGCCTTATTGGAATTATTCATTTTATTATTTGTCAGTTTATAATCAAATTAAATGAATATGAACTTGAAAGAAATGAAGACGAAATGTAGAGAAGTGTTAAATAATACTGAAAAAAGAAAATATAAATCAATCGAAGAAATGATGGACAAGTTAGATTGTATTACAGAAATAACAAACTTTACAAATTTAAAAGAACTTTATGATTTTTGTTTTTTATGTGTATACGAAAAAAATATTTTTATATTATTGTTATTGATACTCCGGGTTATAACGAGAAACAATCGAGTTTCGAATCGTTTATCATATGGAAATTTGATATACATAACAAACGTTTAGTCGTATTATTAAAACGCTTGGAAAATTTTGTTAATTATTATAAGGGTTACGAAAAATTTAATTTAAAACACGAGCATGTATACAGTTGTAATACAGTATTTAATAAATTAAAATGATACAAAATTTTTTTTAATTATTTTCCAATTTGATTGATTCCATAAGATATTCCTCCCGAAACTGCACGACCCAAAGCGGCTCTTCCTACTATAGGTAAAAGTCTTGAAGCAATTGCTTGGTAAAAGTCTCTTGGTAAAAGTCTTGAAGCAATTGCACCTATTGCTCCTAAAAATTTTCCATGCATTCGTTTTTTGTAACGTCTTTTTAAACGTCTTTTATGTCTTTTTTCTCTTAGTCTTTTACGCATTTTAAAAATAATTTTTTTTGAACAAGTGTTTTTTTTAACGTATTATAGAAGATAGTAAACTACCAGCCAATAAAGCGCCTAATATCGGAAGAAATTTACCGCGTATTCGTTTCCTTCAACCGGCTCCTTTTAACGGAGGTAAATAAACTCTTCCTTTTCCTCGTCTTTTATGAATTCTTTTTCTACATAATCTACACATTACGTTGTTTTTGCAAATAATCTAACGCTAAACCTCCCACGTCTGATCTAAGTAAACGTCTGGCAAGATTTTTAACTCTAGTTATAATTTTTCCTTTACCTCGATGTTTGCTACCTCTTCTTTTACGATACCGTCTTCGCGCCATATAATAAGTTTTGAGAAAGAACAAATATAAATGTTTTTTTTATATTTTTTTAAATTAAATAGTCGTGCGTGCATAAAAAAGTACAATTAAAACATGGTTAATTTAACCAAAACAAAAATGTTGTAAAAGGTGTTATGATGATTTAAATTTGAAAGGATAATATGTGTAATTTTCGTCTTCTCCTGTTCCAGTTTGAATCAGTTGTGCCACATGTTGAAGGTATAGTGTTATGATACCTTTAAAATTGGTAACAAAATCAACGGTAATTTGTAAGGAATTGTTTCCTTGAATGGTAGCCGGAGGTTTGTCGTTAGCAAAATTATAATCGCTAGTCGTGTCAATAGCTAAAGGTTCAATTAAATTATACGTTTTACTGAAATAATCATTAGGGTTTCTAATAAAACTGTCGTCGTCACTTGTATAAAAATCTGCATAATTATTAATATTAAGAGTAGAAGGTGTATTTCCTTTACACCAAGAAACATAACTACGATAACATAACTGTTGATGTAATACTTTGTTTTCTAAATCAATTACATATATGTCACCTGAAGAATTGACAAAAGTTCTTTTGAAATTATGAAAAGTAATTTTTTTAATTATAGTGCAAGCCATTTCAACGGGTGTCATAGAAGTTTTAGTAAGATGATCGCTTTCTTTTTTTGATTGAACAGAAAACAAAACACAATGAGGTACCATGTCAGATGTTTTTATATTTCCTAGGCTAATGGTAACGGTATCTGTACCTTCTACGTTAGTTATAACTTGTTCGTAATTAGCAAAACGAGCTATAGTATAAGGTTGATCTGGGTAACTGTTTATGTGCAATGATTTTTCTAAAGGTAAACTAGCGTTGATTCGGTAAGTATTGACCCAAATTGTAGGATTTCTAATTTCTAATCCAACATTAGCTAAAGATTCTATTTGTGCATTAGTTATAGGTCTTATATATTCTAAAAGTTGATTAGTATCTTGTTTAACAGTAAATTCAATTTTTAATTCTTTACCTTTTCCGTAATAACTTTTAATTTGAAAAAATTCACATAACAAAAATAAAGGTACTTTAAAACGATAACCTCTTTCTCCGTTCATCAAGGCATTATAAGTATCTTGTATAAATGTTTGATATTCAGGTATATCGTCATCATCCAATGCCTTTATGACTGCATTAGGATCGTTAGATTTCATAAGATTTTTTGTTTCTTCCCAAGTTGCTCTGTTAACTGTTTTTTCTGTAAATGCTAAATTATTGTTAAGCATATGCTCTCTATATGCTTTCATATAACTTTTTTTAACAAACATTGTTTTAAATCGTTGGTACGCTCGATTATTTATAACGTTATTAGCTGGCATAGAGTTATTTTTTTGATAATTTGGATATACTCTTATATTTTTGTATATATGAAAAATAAAACCTTCTGCCAAACAAATTTTTTCTAATAATGTAAGATCTGCGTGATTTGCCTTTGTATCAAATCTTGTTTTTGTGTTTATGTTTTTAAATAAATGAACATCAAATTCATAAATATAATCTTCCGGTATTGTCCATTCGTTGAATTTCATAGTAAACGTAATTAAACTTTTTAATTCTGAAGTTAAATCAGGAGTAAATTTTTGATAATCGGTTTTGATAACTTCGTCTTGAGCTACAGCAGTCATAAAACCAGGATATTTTTCGTTTAATGCTGCTTTCATTTCTGCACTAATGTTACCGCTTGTCGCTTCTTGCAAAAAACGATTTTCGTCTTCTGCTTTATGTAAAACGTCATTAATGGTAACGGGTCCGTTATGGTTAGGCGTATAACGGTTGCCGTCTCCTGCTCTCATATATTTTGCTAATTTTTTTTTCTTCTTTAAAAATAAAAAAATCAAAAATAAAATTTTTTTTATAATATTTTTTTTAATTCTATTTATTCATCTTCCGAGTCGGAAGTATTTTTTCTTAATGGTAATTTTTTGTTTTTAACGTCTTTTAAAGCTCGCGTGTAACCAAGTTCAATTAAACTTTTTTTATTCATTTTTTCATTTTTGCTTTTTTTTCAATGTTATTTTGCATAAAAGGACTGGATAAAATAGCTCTTTGTTGTATAATGCAGTTTCTGTATAAACCGTGAATAGCGTCTACAGCTTTAACTTCTTGAAAATATTGAGCGCAAACGTGTGAAGTTAACGTGACTTTAGTTTTTGATGGTTTTTTTGCAACATATTCTTCTTCAGAACTTTCGCTTTCTTCTTCTGAATATTTTACTTTTTTACGTTTTGGTTTTTCAGTTTCGTTTTTTTAATAACATTTTTTTTACGTTGAGGTTTTTCTTCGTAAGTGTCAGCGCTGCGCACGCATATTAAATGACATGCGCAAACCTAGCGGAGGTAAACAAACATTTATTTTTATAATTTGACCTGAGTTACTGCGAGAAGGTCATAAAAGAAATATAAATGTCTACTCATTGTGCTGATAAAGATTGTAAAAATAGTCAATATAGACTTATTAAATGGAGACATTAAATTTGCGAAGTTCACGGTACAAGAAGAGAAGAAGAAAACTGTAATTGCACAGAACCTTTTAGTTATAGATTAACTAGACTACTTCTTTCATAATAATAGTGTTATACAACACTATAATTATAGTGTATTATATACATATTATATGGATTTTGTGTAAATTATAAGTATTAATAGTGTTATAATACACTATATAGTGTTATATACAATAATGCATAATAATAGTGTTATAATACACTATAATTATAGTGTATTATAACACTATTATTATGTATTATAACACTATTACTATTCATTATACTATATAAAACTATATAGTGTATTATAACACTATTAATACTAATAATTTACACAATATCCATATAATATGTATACAATACACTATAATTATAGTGTTATTTAACACTATTATTATGAAAGAAGTAGTCTAGTTAATCTATACCTAAAAGGTTCTGTGCAATTACAGTTTTCTTCTTCTCTTCTTGTCCCGTGAACTTTGCAAATTTTTATTTATTTAATTATTAAATTTCCTGTCTCCATTTAATAAGTCTATATTGACCATTTTCACAATCTTTAATAGCACAATGAGTAGACATTTATATTTCCTTTATGACCTTTTCGCAGTAACTCAAGTCAAATTATAAAAATAACCTCCGCTAGGTTTGCGCATGTCATTTAACATGCGTGCGCAGCGCTTAAACTCAAATCAGAGAATCGTGTATTGTTCGCATTTTTCATCCAATTCTGATTTGATATTAAGAACATCTGCTTTAGTTGAAAAATGAAACATTTGATTTTGAAGATTATAAAATTTGTTTTGAATTTCATTGATTTGACTTTTTTGCGGATTTTTTAAAGATTCCGGTTTATTAAATTTTTTTCATATCTTCCTCTTGCTCGAAAAAGAGACATTTTTTTATAATTTATTTTTTTTTAAAAAAAAGACATCTTTGTATAACAAAATTTATATTAATCAAATTAAAACACTTTATTTTATACAAATGTAAAAGGTCAAGTTCTTTATTTTCATAACGTCAATTCCGGTAGATTGTTTTTTTTAACTTGAATGTTTTTTTTTAAGTTTACAAAAAACCCCCCCAAAATTTTTTTTTTCTAATTGTAAAATGGTACCATTTGTATTTGGAAAGTAGTATTAAAAATAGTACTTAAATTGTTAAATTTGAGCGGTTCTTTATTAGTGTTCAAAAAAGTCCATTTGGTTTTTTTCCAATCTTCTACGTCGACAATATCAA